TTTTTTTTTTTCCCATCACATTTTCTTAGTGAAAATGTTGAATTAAAAAAATTAATATCAATGGCAACAGTTTTATTTAAGACTTTTCCAAAGTTCCTCCTGCGTACCATTGTTGGAGATTGAACCCACTCCTTGAAGTTTTTAGGAAAAATAGTGTGAAGTGGTTGAAGAAGGCACAGCCATTTACATTTTACTAAGAAATTAATGTAAATTTTTCTTGTGATCCCATGTTGGCCTATGTTTATTTTATCCCTTTGACTGTCTTTGATTAAAATAGTTAATCCAGGATGATGTCTGCTTATGATTTGTGTGAACCCTGGCTGCCTAGTCATCACATGTGCTTTGGAGGATTACCTTGACAGTACTGTATAAGCTACACAGTTGTGCCATGACACATCCATGTTAGCCTTCTCATGTATGTTTATATTTTAAAAAAATAGCAAGTAATTTATTACTCAGTTACTGCTTGAGAATGGTAGAATAGCATGTGTTACCTGATAAAAAGGAACTTGCCTACTTAGAATCACAGATTGGTGAAATTTGATGCAACTTCGAAATGACTTTAATTCTTCAGAAAAAGAAATTAAAACTCAGAAATGTAAAATGCCTTTGCCAAACCCACAAGCCTCACCCAGACACACGTGCTTTAGTATCCCATATTCTTGCCATGTATATATATTTGAAGAGTGTAGACTGTGCTGTCTTTATATTTATGGCATACTACACTACATTTCCAAAAATAAAATTTTCATTATTATCTATATGTTCTGTGAATCTTCCCCATAATTTTATCCTGTCAAATTTACTAATATTCATTGGTAGATTTTCAGATTGTGTGAAAATTTTATAAAATTATTATCAATAAAGTGGCTTGAGAAGTCACACAATACTTTTCTGTTTATTGCCGCTAAGAAGAGCATGAGCTCAGAAGTCTGAGAACCTGTGTACATTATAGACAAGCTTGTAGTAATCCTTGAGACGCCGAACTTTATGCCTTAGTTTCATACTCTGTAAAAATGGTATTATAATAGTAACTTATTCCGTTGTTTTCCGTTGTTGATCTTGATGTTGGTTAGCATTAAAAAAGTGATCCATATAAAGCACTTAGCACAGTGCCACAACATAATAATTAGTGTGTAAATGTTAGCTATTATAACAAGTTTTCTGTGTTCCTATTTGAATTTCTGTGTTTCTGATTGGAAAAACAGGGTTTAAATAAATGAAAGCTCATAAACATGTTACTCACCTGTCTTTATGTTAAACTTTAATGAACCCCAGCAGTACCTAGAAAATAATAAATTGGCAGAATTTTTTTTTTCTTTTTTGAGGATGGCATATCATTTTCACTGATTATAAGTGATTTATCTGTTTCTAAATGCTAACTGTTTTTATTTCCATGACCAAAGGAAATAGGTATTATAGAGGGGGAAGATTGTAATTATTTATGGTTTTAACAAACTCCAGTTCAATTTAGCTTTGGTTTGATAATATTTGTTGGAATTACGTGTCACGTACCCACCTAGGCATTGGAATTATAAGAACTCTATCATCATAGTCTAGCAGGGAAGATATAAATTAAAAATGAATATGCATAGTACTGTGTGGTAACAATAAGCACTTTAGTGAAGAAGTATAAAGTTCAATGGAAACAGAGGGGAGAGAGCAAGAATTTATAAAGAACACTTGTGATTCAAAACAATAGACATTGTAGCATTTAATAAAGCAATATTCACTATTAAGAACTCTTTTAGTTCTCTGCAAAGCATAAGCACCATGATCTCTCTTCTCCAGAAGATTCTACATTAGAAATCGAAATTATTAAAGTATGCAGATCTTTCTGTCTCCTTTTCCTTCTTCTTCTTTTTTTTTTTTATTTCCTTACTTTACCTGTTTGGATGACTATAGCTAAGGTTTAAAAATCCTCTCTCTGAATTACCAAAACAGCAGGACACTCAACAATGCAATTTCTTAAATATCTTTCAAAAGCAGAGAAAAATTAACTTAGGACCTTAATAACTATAATCCTGCATACTATCAACAGCAACAAAAATTAAGGGCTTATTTTAAAAACCACAATGCTTCATAGTCAATCCTATATTTTTGACAAGTAGTGAAAGTTGTGAATTATGGCTCCAAGCCAGTCTTCTAATGTGTTCTAAAATTCACAGTATTTTCTAATAATATGATTTATTCTCATTTATTAAGGAGTTATAATTACAAAATATCTCTGCCTTTAAAATACTTTGTGCTTCAAAATTTTGTATGTTGCTTGTTTGAATTTCCACAAAGCTTTTGCCATTGCAGTAAGTGAAACTCTAAAGCATTTATTTTTTAAGATTTTATTTATTTATTTATTTGAGAGAGGTGGGAAGCGAAGAGGGGAGAAGCAAAGGGAGAAGCAGATTCCTTGCTGAGCAGGGAGCAGGGGGCTTGGGACTCCAGGATCTTGACCTGAGCCAAAGACAGGCACTAAACTGACTGAGCCACCCAACCGCCCCTAAAAGCGTATTTTCTATCAAAAACAAATATAAGAATACTAGTTTAAAAAAAAAAAAAGAATGCTAGTTTAAGTTGAATTAGAGAGTCAGTACAGTATCGGAAAACAGAAAAAAGCAGTAAAAAACATGTAAAACTTTAGTTATGAGGTTTCACAGTAAACTTTTCGAAAGGCTGGCCTATTTACTATCTGTCTTGACATTTGTTAAGCTCCATTTCTTTTCTTTTTTTTTTTTTTTTAAGATTTTATTTATTTATTTGAGCAAGAGTATGAGTCGGGGGCGCAGAGGGAGAGGAAAAAGCCAACTCCCCACAGAGTGCGGAGCCTGAAGTAGGGCTCAGTCCCAGGACCCCCTGAGATCATGACCTGAGCTGGAAGTTAGACCTTTAAGCCTCCCAGGAGCTCCTGTCTAGCTCCATTTCTGTATTCCTTCTTCATTAATAATGCACCTCTCCACATAATTTTAGTAATCTCATAAGACCATAAACCTTCTTGGTGAAAACCTCCCAAGGTTGGGGTGGGATGCAATCCTCTGAAGATTTCTGTGCTCCAAATTGTGTCCTTTTTTGCTCTCTTCATTCCAATTACACCTTTAGTTTTCTCAGTAAAACCAAGAGCTCAGTGAAGTCTGAGAATTGGTGATTTTTTATTTTGAAGATTTTATTTATTTATTTATTTGAGAGAGAGAGAGAGAGAGAGAGAGAGAGAATGGGAGAGTACCAGACGGTCAGAGGGAGAAGCACACTCCCCGCTGAGCAGGGAGCCCAACGTGGGACCTGGTCCTGGGATTCCAGGATCATGACCTGAGCTGAAGGCAGTTGCCTAACCAACTGACCCACCAAGCACCCCAGAATTGGTGATTTTTTTTTTTTATTAAAGATTTTATTTATTTATTTGACAGACAGATCACAAGTAGGCAGAGGCAGGCAGAGAGAGAGGAAGGGAAGCAGGCTCCCTGCCGAGTAGAGAGCCCGACTTGGGGCTCGATCCCAGGACCCTGGGACCATGACCTGAGCTGAAGGCAGAGACTTTAACCCACTGAGCCACCCAGGCACCCCAGAATTGGTGATTTTTAAGTCCTATCAAAGTGTAACCCAGTTAGCCTTCTGGAGGATTATTTACCTGTTAGGAAGAAGGTACATGTTTTACCAGGTGACATTTTTCATTGAATTAGTATACAATACAGTTAAAGAGATCAGGTTTTGACATTGGATTGACCTGGACATAACCTAGTTTTGAACTTGAAGTTCATAACTTGGAACCATTTACTTCTGAAGGTCAGGTTTTTTCCCTATAAAAAGGGACATAAAGGATAATTTACGTGATGCAGAGAAATTAAAAGGATGGAGATAAGAAAAAATACTAAAATTATTGCTAGTCTTTTATAACAGGACTGTTTGAGACGGTGACAGGTTAGAAAATTGAAATACAAAATTGAGGCAATGCTGGAGAAGTTTTTGATAGTGGTAGCTAACCATGGGTAGAACACCAGCACAGCAAAGATGGACTTCACTCACACATCTGGCTGTCTCTGGGTTTACCCTTTGTCCTATGCTGTGTTGCTACTTCATGGGTCCCCGGTTGGTAACTTAAAATCCTAATCTTTTATTCCATCTGCAGATCTTTTTCAGCACTCATGAACAGAAGGTGTCTGCACTCTTTCTAATACACCACACTTACATTCATGTAGCATTTTTAATTGAGCACGGTTATGTACGTGATCTTATCCTAGAGTCACCCAGGTAGGAAAAGTCACATCACAGGTGTTTCATCTCCGTTCTGTAGATGACAAAAGTGACTCTTAGACAAATTTCGCCCTTCTTGGGTTTTTTCATCTTGTCAGACAGGGTGTTGACGCCTTTGAATGCCCAGCTGCTGCATGCATCCATTGATGCCACTTTTAAATAAAGTGTCTATAAATTGACATAAGCTAATATGCCATAAGTATGTTGTTGTCATAGTATCTTCGGTTTTCTTTTTGGAGGGGGTGCAAAACTGCTAAGACAAAAGTATTTTTTAACATAATGCTACTAACAGCAATTAATACGTCTACATTAAATGAGAAAGTAAAGTCATTATATACAGAGATTTTATTCCACTGCCTAAATGAAGATTGTTTCTTGATTAGTTGTTCCATTCTGTATTTGTAAAACATCATTATTTATAAATCCATTGATTAAATTGGTCGTTTTTCTTTGGATTGACTCAAAAAGAGTCATTTAGTTTCTGCTTGTAATTAGATTATACAGAAAATATTTTGTTTGAGTAATTTTAAATTATGCAGGTGAATAGTTCAGCTAAAGATACATATTTAAACTAAAAAATTCTTGACATAAGGAGTCAAAGAATTATTTAATGTGTGATTGGATGACTTAAAAAACGTACTTTTCGTGATACCTCTTGAATGTAGACATGAATCATATTACTTGAAATGCCTTGTTAAAATAATATATTTCATAAATGTGTTGATTTTAATTTCTTTTTTCTTTCTTTTATTTTTAAGGTTTCAGCAGAGCAGCTTTACCATTCGGGCTAGTTAGGCGAGAATTATCCTGTGAAGGTTATTCTATAGATCTGCGATGTCCAGGCAGTGATGTCATCATGATTGAGAGCGCTAACTATGGTCGGACAGATGACAAGATTTGCGATGCTGACCCATTTCAGATGGAGAATACAGACTGCTACCTCCCAGATGCCTTCAAAATTATGACTCAAAGGTAAATACTTATGTGCTGATATCCTATTTTAGCTACTGCATCCAAACTGGTAAAGTTATTATAATAATTCCAAAGTAGATGAATAGAGTCCATATCTCAGCCCATTTATTAAACTGAATGAGGCTTTTGCCTACTAATGTTGATTTCTCCTTTTAAGCTTTCAACATTTAAATCTCTATATCATTTTTATATAGTTTGACATATCAGAAGGAATATGTAATACCTTTCTTTGATTTTTATATATCATAAAATACAGAGTAAGAATAATCCAAATGTAATCTTTTTTTAGGTCTGCAGAATTTTGGAATTTTTTTCTAACATTAAGAATATATAACTCTCTGGGTCTTTGGAATAATTGTCCTTAATTTTTTTTTTTTTTAATTTATTTGACAGATCACAAGTAGGCAGAGAGGCAGGCAGAGAGAGAGAGGAGGAGGAGGCAAGCTCCCCGCTGAGCAGAGAGCCCGATGCGGGACTCGATCCCAGGACCCTGAGATCATGACCTGAGCCGAAGGCAGAGGATTTAACCACTGAGCCACCCAGGCGCCCCCTTAATTTTTTTTTAAAGATTTTATTTCTTTATTTGAGAGAGAGAGAGAGAGAGAGAGAGAATGAGAAGAGAGGTCAGTGGGAGAAGCCGACTCCCTGCTGAGCAGGGAGGCTGATGTGGGACTCGATCCCGGGACTCTAGGATCATACCTGGGCTGAAGGCAATCTGCTTAACCGACTGAGCCACCCAGGCGCCCTCATCCTTAATTTTTTAAAAAAGATTATTTAGGGTCATGTGGGTGGCTCAGTTGGGTAATTGTTTGCCTTTCAGTGCAGGTCATGATCCCCAGTCCTGGGACAGAGTCCCTCATCAGACTCCCTATTCAGTGGGGAGTCTGCTTCTCCCTCTGCCTTTCCCTTCCCCCCGTTCGTGCTTTCTTGCTCATACTTTCTTTTTCTCTCACATAAATAAATAAAATGTTAAAAAAAAATTTTATTTATTATTTTAGAGCAGGGAGGGGCCGGGTCAAAGGGAAAGAAAGAATCCTCAACCCTAGTCCCTGCTGAGCATGGAGCCTGACATGGGGCTCGATCTCATAATAGTGAGATCAACACCTGAACCAAAATCAAGAGTCGGTCGCTTAACTGACTGACCCACCCAGGCACCCCAGTCCTTAATTTTTTTATTAATATTTTTTACAACAAAAATGAGCAGAGAAAGTAGAGTTATCATACTTCTATTGCTATATAGACACAACCTCTCCAGTTACTGACGTCCTGTGTTGGGGTGGCTCAGTTATTGTAACAGATGAACCCACACTGATGCCTCATTATCATCCAAAGTCCATAGTTTACATGAAGGTTTATCCCTGGTGTTGAGTATTCTATGGGTTATGACAAATTTATGATGGCATGTGTCCACCATTGTAGTATCATACAACTTAGTTTTGCCCTTTTAATAGGTATGTGGTGATGTGTCATAGCTTTCATTTGCATTCCCAGTGACATGTCATATTGACCATTTTTTAATATGCTTACTTGCCATCATATATCTTCATTGGTGAGTTGTCTATTCAGGTCTTTTGTCCATTTTTTAGTCAGTTGTTCATTTAAGAGTTCTTTATATATTTTGGGTAACAATTCTTTATCAGATAGGGCTGTTGGCAAATATTTCCTATCAGCCTGTGGTTTGTCTTCTTATTCTCTTGAAACAGCTTTAAAAAAAAAAAAAAACAAACAAAAACAGCAAGTTCAGGTTAAGAAAACAAATAGTGTGCTTTCTGTCTTTCTCTCCTTCCATATATTTATCTCATTGATTAATATTATGTTTTTTAAAATGGTGTGTTGGAGTGGCTCCATAAGTTGAGTGTCTTGACTTGTTTTCAGCTCAGGTCATGATCTCAGGGATGTGAGATCAAGCCCGGATTCTGGTTCTGAGCTCTCTCCCTCTCCCTCTGCCCCTCCTGTTACTCTCTCTCTCTCTTTCTCTCTCTCTCTCTTAAATAAATCTTTAAAAACAACAAAAAAAAGATTTCTGAAAATAATGTGTGTTGGAAGGTGTGTTATAAAATTTAAAATATATAAATGATATCTCTTAAGGGGATAATTACCTTCCTACATATAGATAGAATACCAAAAAAACTGCTGAGAATGGATATTGCTTTTTCGCGGCCTTACTACAGAGCACCTAACTCCTGGCCTCTTTTTTTCCTCTTTTCTCAATTTTGCTACACTTGACATCTTAATTAAAATTTTCTTATATATAAGATATTAAAATTGTGGTTAGTTATGGTCAACCGATGTAATCATGTCCAGCAGTTGTAGTTATTTGGAACACAGAAACTCTCTGAAGGAACATTTAAATATCACAGAGTTTATTATACATTATTGCTTTTGTATTTTGTTTACTAGGAAAACCCTTCATCTTTCTCTTCAAAGCCTTCATTCTCTTCTCCTGCTTCTTTTCCCCCACTGGACACAATATTTTGTCTAACTTTCTAGCTTATTTATTAGTGTACCTTAAAGTAGAATAGCAAAATTTCTAGACTGGGGTCTGTTTAGTGTAAGCAAAATGAAAACATCAAAAGGTGCTAAGAGGCAATGAAGAAAAAAAAAAGTAGAAAAACTGTTTTTTAAAAAATCCATGCCAGCAGCACTTGGGTGGCTCAATGGGTTAAAGCCTTTGCCTTCGGCTCAGGTCATGATCCCAGGGTTCTGGGATCGAGCCCTGCATCGGGCTCTCTGCTTGGCAGGGAGCTTTCTTCCCTTCCTCTCTCTCTGCCTGTCTTTCTGCCTTCTTGTGATTTCTCTCTGTCAAATAAATAAATAAAATCTTTAAAAAAATCCATGTCATAAGAATATGGGTACAAATTGCTGTAAAATCTCTGATTTCATAGAGAATAGGTATTGGCCATATTATAAGTAGCACATTATAAGTAGTTTTTCTTTAAGGTTAATACTGGTTAAGATTTTTTTAAGAAACCAGAGAACAGATTTCATCAAATTTTTATTTTGGTTTCCAACAAAACCAAAGATTTTCCATCAAAATGATTTAATTCTGGGGACACCTGGCTGGCTCAGTCAGTAGAACATGTGACTCTTGATGTCAAGATTGTGAGTTGGAGCCCTACATTGGATGTACAGATTACTTGAAAAAAATAAGATCTTTTTTAAAAATGTTTTAATTTTAGTTCTTAAGGTCTCATTATTAAAAAGTTAAGACAAAATCTTATTTGCATAAATGGTACTTGAGAAAGGTTTTTAAAATTTAAAACAGAAGTTCACTATTGTGTACCATTTGGAATCTGGCCTGTGAAATAAACCGTAAAAAATAACTTACCTTATTTGGAAGAATGGATTCTGTGCTCCAGTAAATTGTAGTAGAACAATTTGCACATAGTGTTTCAAAATTGGGGAACCGCCCATGCTAGAGAGACAGTAAAGGCAGCCACTAATAATGGGCCATTTATCCATTCTTTACATGTTGAGCTGTTTAATAATTGAACAATTTAATTTAATTGGTATTAGATGAGCATTTAGAAGTAGGCCAGAGAGAAGTGGGAAGTAGAGAAATATGTGCAATTATCTGTTTTTACAAAATTGACAAGCAAAGATCAGAGGAGTTGGTACAAAGAGAGGGTTTGGAGGAGTTGGCCTTGAGGGGACTGTACATTGTAGGTAACTTATCGTTGTTCGTGAATGTCTATAGTTAAATACATAGTTCAATATCTAACAAAATGCATAGGTCTACATCATATTTGTATCTAGTAAATATAATTACATATTATAGGACATGTAGAAGCTAAGTTATTTTCATTGTTTCATCATGTTATAAAAGCAGGGCTGCATTTTTTATAATACTTTGAAAGGAACTAGAGTTTTGGGAGTATTTAAATTCTTTGGAAGCATACAGTTGTTCACTGTACCCTTATTATCAAAAGTTTTGAACAATTTATGATGTACTAGTGCAAATAAGGGGTTAATTCCAAAACTAGCTGTAGGACCCCCATTTTTAAATTGTTGTATTATACTGGTGGCTTATAATTATTTAGTCAGCACAATAACAGTTTAAACAAGAACACTTTAGTGAGGAAGACAATGTTAAGTAGACTTAAAAATGAGTTTCATAGTAGTCGCTTGTAAGTACTTCATTCTGCCTTTGTCAGAATGTAAACCTTTAGTCTACCATATTTGACCAGTACAAAGTTACAAAAAACTGTAATAAAATATGTAGACAACATTTTTGCAGCTGAATTATTACTGAATAATAATTGAGTGCCCTGGGGTTTTTGTTTTTATTTTTGTTTTTTAAGTAAGCTTTATACTTATACTTATACTTATACTTTGTACTTACAACCTGGACATCAAGAGTCTTATACATCACCAACTGAGCCAGACAGGCACCCCATTGTTTAAGCATATCCCTGTTTTTTTCACTGAAAACTGCTTTCAGTGTTTACAGATAAAAGTAAGAGTTATTTTTACCAAATTCCTAATAATTTAGCAAATTTTCTATTTATAATTGTCAGAAAATGTGATATTTGATAATGTAGGAAAGAGATATTTTTTGCTCTGAGATAAGATAAATTCTCTCTAGAAAGCTCTAATAAAAGCACTTGAAGTTTTCTATTAAATTTCTAAACTATAATGATGGAGATAAACACTAATTTCAATGCTACTGAAATGAAAATATGTTTGTATTGTATTACAAGGTTTTTTCACACCCTGAATGGAGGGTGAAATGGAGGTGAAATGGAGGTACTTTCTCCATTGACATCACTTCAACAGTTGAAAGCCAAGTAAATAAATACACTTACAATTTTGGCTGTAGTGGTGGTAAAAATATTAATAATTGTTCTTCATTCTTCGCTTTCTATTTCCTATTCATTCAAAAGTGTGAAACGAAGGCCCTATATGAAACTGATAGTACATTTGTCTTAAAGTACAACAAATGGCTCATCTGAGCAAGTGAGAAATGAAATTCATCCCTAAAATGCTATGTATTTTAATAA